GCGATGGCTCCAGACGCCAAGGGACAGCGGAATTAAGACTAGTGACTGGGCCGGAGGAAGTGGTTTGCAGCGTGGCCCCAATCACTGCAAATTGGGAGGGCGCCCCCATGAACACTGGCAGCTAGCTGGCCGGGAAACAGCGTCAGGCCGTCCTGTTCCGGCGGCTGCCGCCGGCCATGCCGCTGGTGCCTCTGGGCCTTTGTCTTCAGGGGCTGCCCGGCTGGTGGCCGTCGGCTCTGCCACCTGATTTGTTCAGGCGCTGGGTCACTGGCCTGTGAACGGAGGCATGCGAGTCCCAGCCCGGCCTCCAGCTGATGGACAGGCTCATGGATGGCCTCTTGCCTTGGACTGTGCTTTCTCCAGAGGCGGGGGCCCTTCCCGAGGGGGAGGGGGTCCAGAGACACCATGTCTTCTCTCCCTGCGCCGCCGTGGGGACCGGTCGTGCCTCATGGGCCCACAGCCGGGCGCTCTGTGGGCTCCTGCTGGCCGTGCGCGGGCCACCGCACGCTGGGGGCTCAGCCTTCCTGCAGTGTGCGCTGGCGCTGGGCGGGGGCGGCGCGGCCGCAGCTGCGGACAGGGCGGGACTCTCCCTGTCCCGTGCCCGGCCCACTTGGGTGTGTCTCCGCGCCCCCCCCACCCCAGCCCGCCCCTGCCTCACGCGGCCCATGTGGGAGAGGCGCGCAGGGACCGCGCCGGGTCTTGGGGTTCCGCGCTGGTACGTGCAGCCCGAGGCCTCACCCGTCCCAGCCTGTTGCCGCGCAGGGTTGCTGTGAGAGGGGGCAGGCAGGTGAGACCCGGCCTGGGGGGACCCTGGGGGGCAGTGAGACGAGAGTCCTGCGTGGGTGGGGCTGACTGCTGCCCCGGCCTGGTGCCCTGGGGGCCTCGAAGGTGGGGCTCAGGCCGGACCTCTGACCCGGGCCCCGGTCCAGCGTCCCCAGCTCTCCCTGCGGCTGCCCAGCCGCCCTTTCGCGCCCAGCCCTGCCCGCTGTGAGGCTTTGGCTCCCCCGGGCCGCAAGGGTGGGGCGTGCGCCGTGGGGCTGGCGCGGCGACAGCTCCCCGTGTCATTTCCTGCCGCCCCGGCACAGGGAGCCTTTGGGGCGCCCCATCCCTCGGACGCGCTGAGCAGCAGCCTTGTTTGAGGTGCGCTCCCCTGTGCTGCTCGCCTGTTTTAAAACACAGTTCAGCGATTTTTTGTAAAGTCACAGACTTGCGCAGCGTGACCACAGTACCCTTACGTCACCCCCACCTCAAAAGGCTCCGCCCAGCCCGGGCCGCTGGCCCTGGCCCTGCCGCCCCCTGTCCCGGCTGCGTCCGACCTTCTGTCCTGCTGCCCTTCCGTCCGCAGAGGAAGGAGGATGGAGCGGGCCGCGTGGCAGGGCGGCTCGCAGGCCTGGGGGGGCGCTGGCCGCGGTGCTGATGGCCGCCCTGCGGGCTCGGCTTGCGGGGAGTCAGACTGGCCCCGGGACGGGCGGCCTGCGGGCACCTTCCTCGGCACCCCGGCCTCTCCCTGGCCGCAGGCGGACCCGCAGCGGGGGCGCCCAGTGCCTCAGCGGGAGGTCGTTTCAGCCGCTAAGGGGGGTTTCGTTGCTTGGACAGGTGTTTTTCTGAAGTGAACACGCAGGGTGGTTTGCGTACCTCCTGCCCCTACTGGCGGGCAGCCCCGGAGCCCCAGGGCCTCCCGCGGGCCCCTGCCGGGCGCCGCCGCCCTGTCACCTTACCGCGGGCAGCCCCTCTAACTCACCGCCCCTGACGTGCGGCGCCTGCGTCAGGGGTCGGGCCGGGGGACCAGAAGCCCCACGGGGAGTCGCCACCCAGACGCCGGGTCTCGCCCTCACTACGCAGAAGTCCCGTCCGCGCCCGCCGCCCCGCCCCCTGAGGCCGGGGGGCCTCCCGTGGCCAGTGCGCATGTCTGCGCATGCGCAGCGTGGATTGCGTCGTGTCCGTGTGTGCGCGGTGTGCACGTGTGAGCGTGTGTGGGCGTGTGGGCTTGGGTCTCGGTGCCCACAGGGGACCGTTTCGAGGGACACGCGCTTCCTCCTCCCAGCTGCCGTCCGTCAGCGGGGGCGGGGGGTGTGCGGTGTGACTGCCCACCTCCCACTGGGAAGCCTGGCGCAGCCTCTCCTCCTTGGCCCCGAGTGTCTGCCACCGGCCACTGGGGGGCGCCCCCCTCCCGCGCTCAGGCTGCAGGCAGGTCTGCGTCCCACCTAGTCCTGCTTGTCCCTTCGGGACGCACAGCTCTCGGGCCGCATTTGGACGTTCTGACTGTGCAGGCCCACGCTCCTCCTGGAGCTGGGGGCTCTTCCCTCGTCCATGTGGACTCGGCCCCTCTGCTAGGGACACCGTGGCTCTGCAGAGTTCGCGGCAAGGACGGGCGGTCCCCAGGAACAGCAGTCGCCCTGGGGCGGCTTCAGCTTCCCGCAGATCCAGGGCTGGAAGGGTCCCCGTGGCCCGTGGAGCAGCCAGGCCGCCCGTCGGGGGAGCTGGTCCCGTCCGTGGGGGCCGCCGGACCTGAGAGCTCTCAGCCCCGGGCCTAGCTCGCCAAGCGCAGAGGGGCGGGGCACAGCCGCGCCCGCGGCCCGTCCGCCTGCGGAGCGCCTGCCTGAGGTGCGCCTGCTCACCAGGCCGGGGCTCCTCCGAGCGCGTCCAGCTGCCCGTTCTTGGTTCCCGTGAAATGGGAACAGATCCCTTTGTCCCTAGACGGCTCCCTCATTCACCCGGTTCTCCAGTGTGCTGGGCGCCGACTGCGCGCAGAGACGGCCCCTGCCGAGGAGGGGACACAGCCGCGGGCCGCGCGGGCCTCCGGGACGCCCTTGCCTTGCTCTGGCCTGGGCGCGGGCCGTGGCGGGCTCCGCAGGGCTCGGACAGCCTGAGGCCCGCCGGCCCGTGGGGTGCACCGACTCGGGGAGGGGGCGGCTACGGGGAAGTGCCTACGGAGCGGGGCAGGGGGGTCTGCACCAGGAGGAGAGGCCAGTTACGGTGCTTCGGGGTCGCTTTCTCAGGTACGTCAGGTCACCCTGGCAATACAGATGCAAGAAGTCAGAAACTGCGTGGTAAGTATCAAAAGATTTAACACTCTTCAAATGTGTGGGATTTTCTTAAGCTGTTTTTCTGTCCTGAACACACAGAACCTCGGGCAAATGGCGCCGCCCCTGGGGAAGAGGTCACCGGTCACAGATGAGAAAGCCCCAGATCCCAACTGATTTTAAATTCAAGAACTGGATGTGTAAGTTAGCTTTTTCAATAATGAAGCATGGTAATGTAGATGAGTTTTTGTGAAAAAATAATTGTAAAAAGTGTAATAGTTAGGAAGTGTTGTTAGCAGAACTAAGGACTTTGGAACAGGAAGTGAGAATTTGTATCCCGGCGTCTTGTAAACTCAAACGCAGGATCGGTCAGTGAGAAACAAGGCTGAGCTCACACCCCACTGTGGCCGACCCAGATGGCTCCTCACTCCCCTCCGAGGAGCTCGGGACGCGTTCTGTCTTCTGGCGACAACGCGGTGAAAGCGCTGGGCGCCCGACGTCCTGGGGGAGGGGAAGGGCAAGTCGTGCGGGCCACCCCAGGTGGGCAGGGGCCGCGTGCAGCGGGGTTCTGGGCCTGGGGGCAGCCGCAGAGGCGCCCTGGGTGGGGAGGGGCGGACAGGGCGGAGGTGTGCTCCCGCCAGCCACGTGGGCCCGAGGACAGGGTCCCTGGGAGCAGCGAGGGGCTGCGGGGGGGCCGGGCTGGTGCCCCAGCAGGAGGAGCTGCCCACGTGTACAGACCTGTCACCTGTGGAGGTGGGCGCCAGGACAGGGCCAAGGCCCTCCCAGTCCCCCAGAAACTAGCCAGTGTGCAGCCAAAGCCTCTGAGAAATGGAAAAGAAAAAAAAGTGATTTTAGGCCCTTGCTCGGGGCGGGGGTGGCACCAGCTGGGCGGAGGGTTGGGCTGCGGGCAGAGGCTGCACATCTGGGGTCCCTTCCCCCAGGGCTTCCTTGGCTGGAGCAGAGAACAGGCAAGGAAAGGGGCTCTTGGCTCGACCCCGCACCAGCTCCCTGGCGGGAGCAAGGCTGTCCTTGTGCGTCCCGGCCTGGGCCTGTGGCTGTGCCAGACGCAGGGCGCCGCCACTGTGCTGCCACTCAGCCAGCCAGGCTCCCCGGTGGGGCCGCAACAGGGGACCCCGTGCTGCAGCCCCGGTGTCGTGTGCCTGTGGGGGGTGGGGTCAGGCCAGAGGCTCTCGGACTGAGACAGGCGGGCCCGGCCGCCCACGGCCGCAGGGCACACGTGGGGCCGCCTGTCCCTCCGGGCTCCTTCCTGCAGATGCCCGTCAGGACTCGCTGCCCAGTAAGTGTGCTACGAACGTGAAACAGATGTTTGTAGGGCTTTTCCCATTTCAAAACTGGGATCAGAGGGCTGCGGGCCTGTGTGTTGGTCATAAGGACTGGGGTGGAGGTGAGGGGGTGTGGCGCTGGTGGGGGCCGGAGGGGCCAGTGAGCCTGTGCCCACCTTCCGGTGGCACTGGGCACAGCGGCTCCCTGTGAATAGCCCAGCCTCGGTCCCCGCTGCCTCACGGTGGGGGTGGGGACTGCAGGTCGTGCTCGGGAGCTGGGTCCTGCGGCCCCTGCCTCTGGGCCGCTCTGCCGGGGGACGTGCTGTTAACCTTGCCTGCTGCCTTCCAGCTGCCGTGTTGGGTCACAGAGCCTGCAGTGTTTTCTCGCCTCGGTTGTGGGCCACGGTGGGGTCTGTGTAGGACAGACCAGCAGTGAGCAGCACTACCTGAGGGGCGGCAGGGGTGCCGGGCGCACCTGGAGGGCGAGGTGAGCTGAGGCGTGCCTGCCTGAGCCGCCCCGCCGCCGCTTCCTTCCTTGGTGGGATGCGCTGTCAGCCCGTGCGTGGCGGGCACGTCCTTGCCGGCCCAGCCACGGCGCCTTTGCGCACGTGCCCGCCCAGCGCCGGCCTCGCCTCCACAGGGCCTTCCTGCGGCGCAGGCCGCCCACCCCCAGCAACTGCAGTCTTTGTCCTGTTTCCTTCATTTTAATACTTTGTGATTTTTCTTTCAAACATCTCTCTTTTTATAAACAAACATACGGGGTGGGGGAATCAAGTATTTTAACAATACACAAAGTATAAATACTGGCTTTGATTTCCATCACTTCATTTGGCACGCCCGTCGGAGGCGACGTGAGCGGCCGAGGGCGGGACCGGCAGGGCGCTGGGGCTGCCTGGCGCCGGAGCCAGCGAGCCCTGGCGGGTGCGGCCATCTCCACAGAGGCGCCAGTGGCCTTTTCCGGAGAAATGCAGGCAAGGTTAACAGCACGTGCCCTGTGCTGTTGTGCATTCTTGCCGCAGCATGTCCGCTGGGAGAGCGACAGAGCGGGCAGGCGACAAAGTGCTGTGCGTGCGCCGGAGGTCGGTCACCTGGTGCCCCAGGACGCGAGCCCGGGTCGGGGCAGGGAGCGTAGCAGGCTCGGCATGGCCGCCGGGCACCCGCGCGCCCGCTGTCTACGCCAGCACCTGCTGGACGCCCGCCGGGTCCGCGGAACAGCTCTGGCGCCCACAGGGGGTCTTTTTAACCAGGCGCCGCAGCTTGCCAGGGAAGCTCCTGTTGATGTAGCGATAAAGCAGCGGCGTCACGGAGCTGCTGGAGAAGGCCAGGCACCGCGACAAGTCCTTTGCGAAGAGCAGCATCCCCAGGTGCTGCCCGTCCACAGGCTTCCCCCGCAAGGCCAGTGACGTGTGCCCCAGGAGGGTCAGGTAGTGCGGCGTCCAGAGCCCAAACTGCGTACACACGGTGGCCACCAGCAGCCGGTGCACCGAGGGGTCCAGCCGCCCCGACTCCCGGTCGAGGGGCGTGTCCTGCCTGCGGACGCGCGAGATGAGCGCGAGGGCATAGAGCGCGGCGAGCCCGGGCACCAGGTACCCGATGAAGACCATGATGGCGTCGGCGGCCTCCGTGTGCTGCATCCGGGAGCACTCGACCAACCTGGCCGCCACGTGGCTGCAGATGTAGAAGAGCAAGGAGGAGAAGCTGGTAAGCAGGGCGCCGCCCCAGACGAAGCCGCACACGTGCCGGCTGTTGTAGACGCTGGACATGTAGGTGCGCGGCAGCGCCCGCTCGATGTAGTAGTCGAGGCTGAGCAGCGCCGTGGAGTACATGGTCACCAGGGAGCAGACGTTGAACAGCACCAGCAGCGTGACGTGGGCCTCGCTGCTGAAGGCCCACGGGGCCCAGCCTGAGGTGCCGGGGCCCAGCAGCAGCGCAGGCGCCAGCGCGCTGAGCAGCAGGCCTGCCACGGCCATGTTGACGAAGTAGACGTCGGGCATGGCCATGCTGCCCTGGTCGTGCAGGTTGACCAGGATCAGCAGGGCGTTGTAGCCCAAGCCAACAGGGACGCCGACGGCCAGGTAGGACAGGGAGACGGCAGACAGGGCCAGGTGCGCGTGCTGGCAGAGGGGCTGGTCCTCGCCCCGGCCGGTGCCGTTGGGCAGGCCGCAGCTCCACATGGCGCCGGGCTCCGCGGGCTGTGGGGAGAGCGGGGGCCATTGTTACCTGGGGCCGAGCCCCTGGCCCGAGCTCTGGGCCCACAGGCCTCTTGGACGAGCTCGGGGACAGCCAGAACTGTCCCTGGAGTTTCCTGCGAAGCCACCGCAGGCTGCCCAAGCGGGGCTGGTGCCTGGAGGGGTACGTGCCGCCAGGGCCGTCCTGGCACGGCCAGCCTCCTCGCCCCATCTCCGCAAGAAAGGGGAGCAGTGGGGCTCGGATCCTGGCTCCTCATGGGGCGGCTGTGCCCTGGCCAGGGCACATGCCCCTCCTGCCCACCCTCAGAGCGCCTGACGGGGTCTGGGCGTTTCTCCACCAGGAGGGGACACTCTGTCGGGCCCCTGCTGACCTGGGCCTTGGAGCCCTCGAGAGGTGGGGGCCGGGCCAGGACTCAGACCCGGGCTCAGTCCTGCCCCGCTGAGCCCAGGCAGTGTGGCTGGGAGCAAGCCTGCCCTTCCCCCAGCACTGTCCCTGGAAGGGGCAGTGGGGAGGTCAGAGTGCCTGTGGCCACCTGCCGATCGGTCAGGGCACCTGGGGGCAGACCTCACATGCTGTTTGTCACGGGCCTTGCGGTGACAGGTGTGACTCAGCCAAGGTCAGGAAGGCCTGCGGTGCGGGGAGGGGTGGGCCGGCGCTCTGCCCGGCCCGCACACGGCCCTGCTTTCTACCACTGGTCTGGACCCTTCCCAGCACACGTGGGAATCGGCAGCCTCTCTGCCCTCTCCTGCCCATCTCTCATGGCGCCTGGGCAGCATGACGTACCGGGAGCTGGGGGCACGGAGGCCCCGGGGCCTGAGCTGTACCTGGGGGATGGGAAGCACCGCCTCTTGGGGGACTGGCTCCATCGGTGGGAGACCCGAGAGGGAGCCGCCTGTGTGTGTGAGGCCTGCGGCGCTCGTGTGCTCTCCGTGGCGCTCGGGAGGCCACCCGTGGGGGGCCCTCGGGGAGCTGGGCTTCCAGGATGGACCGGTGCCTGGGAGGCGGGGCCCAGCCCCGCACCCCTGCCTCGCAGGCCCTGCATGGGCGGAGGCAAGGGTCTGGGTGGGAACTGGCAGCAAGGACAGACATCACCCTCCCTTGGAGGGAAACCTCATGTTCCGAGGTCGTTTGGCCCAAGCACGTCTGCTCACAGACCACAGTGCCCTCAGCACACCCCTGCGGACCCGGCGCTGCTGCCCAGGCGTCGGCCACAGGCACCGCCGGCCCACCCAGCAGGCAGCAGCCCCCCGGCAACATGGGCAAGGGCTCTGTGGCCCAGGGGCAGCCCATCAGCCGTACCAGGCGTCCCTCCGGCCTTCGCTGTCTGCCCCGACCCCCCCCAGGAGGGCCTCTGCGTGCGCCCCCAGCCCTGTCCGACCGCCGTGGGCTGGACAGGAGGGCCACCTAGGGAGAGGCGACGCTGCAGCCCGGGTCTCCTCCCCAAGCGTGTCTGAGCCACCGCCAGCCTGCGGGCGCGGCCTCCCGTCCCGGGTCCCCTGCCTGCTGAGCTCTGCCTCTGTCCGAGGCCTCGCTGGCCTCCAGCTCCCAGGGAGTGCTGCAGCCCTGCGGCCACGGGGGGCGTTTTCCAGCCGAGCGCCGTGGGCACCGGGCGTGGGCTGCAGCCCCCAAGGAGGACAGGGGCTCCGCTGCCACCCTGACAGGTGCCATCGTCCGGGGGCTCCCTAGCGAAGGCACAGGCCTGCGCCCCCTGCAGGGGCCACGGCCCAGGAATAGGACCTTTCAGCCCTATCCTCTGCCAGCTGCCCTTTCACTCACTAGGGGGCGCTCTGGCCCAGCCCCTCCCCTTCACTCCTGCCCCACAGGTCCTTGCCCAGGACAGGGAGGCTCGTGTGCCCCTGGGGGCCCAGGCTCCTCCACGCAGCCTGTGGCGGCACCATGTGGAAGCGCACCCCGTGTCTCCTAGCGAATCCTCCTCAGTGCCTGCCTCTCGGCCAGCACTGTGGTCCCTCCCTGTGTTCACAGCCTGTCTCAAACGAGGGGCTGTGCCTGTTGGGCCGGTGCCTCTGGATGCACCTGCCTGACCCCACCTGCTCCCACTGTGGCCACAGCCCCAACCCCGTGCACCCCAAGCCCAAGTGTGGGGCGCCTCCGTTAGGAGCTCCCTTCACTCCTGAGAAAATAAACTAGCAGACATTCGTGGACAGAAACCAAAGCCGCAGAGTCAGACCCTCCGGGTCCCGGCAGGACCTCAGGGCAGGGCCCAGCGCCTCCCTGGGCAGGGGGTGCACCCGGAGCTCGGAAGCAGCAGCGGCAGCGAGGGCAGGTGTCCAGATGGCAACACCAGCAGCAGGAGGAAGGAGCTCCTCCTGCAGGCGGTCACCGGCCCCTCTGTCCCCAAGCCCCGCCCCCGCGCTGCCGGGCCAGAGACTGGGCTCCCAGCGGGCACTGGCCTGTCTCGCGGTGCAGTGGGAAGAGCCGCCAGCCAACATCCGGTGCCGAGCTCAGACTGGGCCCGCTCTTGGGAACCGGTGTCACGTGGCATAAGACCCGCCGAGAGCTCCTTGAAGAGCTCTAGTGCCCTGGGGCCCCAGGCACTGACGGAGGGACGGGAAGTGGCCGAGCGCTGGCCCGCCGCGGCTCCTGAACGGGGTCGGGAGCCGCACGCCGAGCCAGAGTCAGCGTCTGCGTGCCCTTCTCCCCTCTACTGTGTCGCTGATGAGGGTGACTCTGATTTCAGATGCAGATTACAGGCTAAAAGGCACCGGGGTTCATTTGCTTCCAGTCAAAAAAGGACACACTGTGCCGTTTGTCCAGCATTCCTCCTGCCCGCGGCGGGGCACCTCGTCTCTGCAGGTGTTACTAGAAATCTGGAGAGCAAATGGCAGCGTCAGAGCTGCCTTGCTTCACAAGCGCAGGTGTCTGGCTTTGCCCAGAAGGGGGACCATCGCCTCCCACCCATGAGGTCGAGGGGTCGGGGGTGGAAGGAAGGGAGTCTCCTCCCAGCTGCTGGGCTGCTGGACCTGGCCCCGCCCCCTGATCCCCATTTCCCTGCGGTCCAGCCCCACCCCCACCCCCAGCCCCTCTGGCTTTGAGAGCTGGGGGCCTCTCGCCAGAGCCACGACGGCCCCCCCCTGCCCCGGCACAGGTGCAGCCGCAAGCTCCTAAGTAGCAGGCCTGCTCCTTCCTGAGAAAGAGGAACTCAGAGCTCAGCTGGGCAGACCCAGGGTTCCAGGAAGGGCCCAGGGACAGGGTGGGGGGTAGTGACAGGAGGCAGGCTGGTGTCCCAGTGTCCCTGTCACCTGCTGCGTCCACTCAGCTGAAGGGGCCTGGCTGGGTGAAGGCCCTGTGGGCCTCTCCTCCCGCCATCACGCCCTCTGCCAGCAGAGCAGGCCCTGCCACCACGCCTCTGCCAGGCCACCTCCAGACTCGCTGGCTGGCCTGGCACCTCCTTCCCGTTCTTACCGCTGCCTCCCCCACTCTGCAAAACCCTCCCCATGACTCCCGAGGACTGGCTCCCACGCGCAGGGCGAGGGGGCCCTGCCCCCTTGCTGGACCCCCGCGTGCGCAGCAAGCTGCCCAGTCGGCTGAGGGGCTCCCCTCTGTGAGATGCGGAGAAGGCCCAGCACCTGGGGGCACCCCTAGGTGGGGGTGTCCAATCTTTCGGCATCTCTGGGCCACATGTTAAATACACTGTGACACATAATCACAAACAAAAGTCAACTTTTTAAGCAAACGCATGCCTTTGTGTTGGGCCACATTCACGGCCCCCCAGGGCCGCCCGGCAGACACCCTGCTCTGCGGGAACAAAGCTGCAGCCCTGCCGGCCGGAGGGGTGCCTCTCGGACCCCAGCAGCCTGACCATTGAGGGGAAGACCAGGAGGAGGTTCGTGAGGCCAGGTTCCAGGGTCAGAAACAGCTGGAGCCCCATCTGCATCCGGCGCCGGGTGGAGGGCGTGGCTGCAGGGCACCGAAGAGGCTGTCTCTTCGGAGGGAGCCCCGCTCCTCTGCCTGAGGGCCTAGTCCTCCACACAGCCCTCTCCCCCGGCCCCGCAGCCAGGGCCTGTGAGCGTCGCCAGCAGGAGGCCATTGCTCCTCCCAGAGGCTCCTGTGCACGACTTCCAGGCCCCCCTGTGGCCCAGCAATGAGCTCTCAGGAGGACACCATCCTAGCACCCTCCGGGCGGGCCCCAGGCCTCCCTCCTCCTGGGCTGGGTCAGGGGCTCTCTCCAGGTCCTCGGGGCCTCAGGCAGGACCCGCAGGTGCCGACTCCGAGCCCGGCCCCGGTGGGGAACTCTGCGGGCCCCACGCCGGCAGCTCCGCACTGCCCAGGGGCGGGCAGGGGCGCTGCCCGTGTCCGACGGTCCTGGCACCGCACCTGCGGTTTCCTGTCACGGGTGCCCGTGGGGCCTTGGTGCCGCCTCTCTAGGAGCCTGCTGTCAGGCGGCGCGGTGGCCCGAGGACAGCGTGGCTTAGGTGCGGGTCTCCTGCAGCGCTGGGGGAAAGGCCCTGTGAGACGCGGGTTTGGCGTGGGGGCCTGCTGGGGGGTAGACAGGCCACAGGAACGCTGGTGACTCGGCCCGGCCGCAGGGCCCTGCTGCACACCTGGGTCCTCAAAGTCAGGGCGGGGCCAGGCGCACAGCAGACAGAGCCCCCAGCCCTGGGGCGGGGGTGCCGGGGCAGCGGCGCCTCAGGCCCGGGCGACGGAGGAGGACAGTCGGGCAGGAGTGCCGTGGCTGCGTCCCCGCAGTGCCCTGTGCTTGGGAACAGCAGGGCACGGGAGCGTCCTCCCTGCGGAAGGCCACTGTGACCCCGGGCCTACCTCGCCCAGCCCCATGGGAGGGAGCCCAGACCAGCCCGTGTCAGAGTGGACTGTCGCGACGACCCCGCACCCCGTTGGTCTCGAGGGGCCTCCACAACGCCAGGACGGGCATCCAGACTCACGGCTTTGGTCCCCTCCTGCCTCAGTTTCCCCAGCGTAGGAGAACCCTCGTGAGGCTGTTAAGAGGGACTCCCAACGCAGCAGGCACAGCGCAGAGGGGCCT